GCCCCCGCTCCTGGCCTTGGTGGCCGCCCTGGGCCTTGGTGACCCCAGTCGCCCCTCCTTGACTTCCATTGGTCCCTACGGAGGCCCTGTTGACCTCCGGTGAGTCCCATTGGCTCCCATTGACCCCTATTGACCCCCATTGACCCCCGTTGACCCCCATTGACCTCCGTTGTCCTCCATTGATGCCCATTGGTCCCATTGACCTCCATTGACCTCCGTTGACCCCCATTGGCCCCTGTAGATGTCTATTGACCTCCATAGGCCCCAATTGGCCCCATTGGCCTCCATCGACCTCTATTGGCCCCCATTGTCCCCTATTGACCTCCATTGATCCCCATTGACCCCCATTGACCTCCATTGACCCCCATCAACCTCCGTTGACCTCCATTGGCCCCCATTGAGGTCTATTGGTCCCGTTGACCCCTATTGACCCACATTGACCCACATTGACCCACATTGACCCCATAGACCCCCCATTGACCTCCACTGGTCCCCATGGATCCCCGTTGGCCTGTGGTTACTCTCATTAGCCCCCATTGACCCTCCTTGACCACTGTTGATCCCCATTGACTTCCATTGACCCCAATTGGCCTCTCTTGACCTGCATTGACTCCCCTTGACCTCTGTTGACCCCCATTGATGCCCATTGACCCCCTTTGAGCCCTGTTGACCCTCACTGACCTCCATTGACCCCCCTGGCCCCTGTTGGCCCCCATTGACCTCCACCAACCCCCATTGACCTCTGTTGGCCTCCATTGATGCCTAGTGGTCCCGTTGACCTCCGTTGATATCCACTGACCCTCGTTGACTCCCCTTGAGCTCCATTGACCCTCATTGACCTCTATTGACCCCCATTGACCCTCATTGACGCCCATAGACCCCATTCAACCCCGTTGGGCCCCGTTAATTCCCCATTGACCCCTGTTGACTCCCCTTGACCTCCATTGACCCCCATTGACCTCCATTGACCCCCCCTTGCCCCCCATTGACCCCCATTAACCTCTGTTGACCTCACTGATGCCCATTGGTCCCGTTGATCTTCATTGACCCCCATCAACTTCCATTGATTCCCCCATTGACTCGCATTCACCCACGTGGGTCCCCGTTGATCCTCGTTGACCCCCGTTGTCCCCCATCGACCCCCGTTGACCCCCTTTGACCCTCGTTGACCTCCATTGACCTCCATTGGCCGCCGTTGATCCCCGTTGACCCCTGTTGACCTTCGTTGATCTTCATTGACCCTTGTTGGCCCCTATTCATCCCCATTGAGCTCCATTGACCTCCATTGAGGCCCATTGACCCCCGTTGATCCCCGYTGACCCCCATTGACCCCCATTGACCTTCATTGATCTTTATTGACCTCCATTGACCTCCATTGGCCCCCGTTGATCTTCATTGATCTCCATTGACCTCTGTTGATCCCCGTTGACCCCCCATTGACCCACATTGACCCCCGTGACCTCCATTGACCTCCATTGTCCCCTGTTTACCCCTATTGACCCCCATTGTCCCCCATTTCCCCCCATTGTCCCCCGTTGACCACCCCCTTCAGCCTCCCTTGAGCGGCCTCGGCCTCCATGGTCCTCTCTGGTGTCTGGGCAGGGCCTGAGCGCGGGGGCGGCAGCCGAGCGGCTGCTCCGGGACGGCCCCAACGAGCTGCGGCCTCCACGCGGGACCCCCGAGTGCCTCAAGTTCGCCCGGCAGCTGGCTGGCGGCCTCCAGTGCCTCATGTGGGTGGCGGCCGCCATCTGCCTCATCGCCTTCGGCATCCAGAGCGGCCAGGGGGACCTCACGAGCGCCGACGACGTGCGTCCCGGATGCCTGGGCCCCCCGCGGGCTCGGGGGGCTGGGGGGCAGGGGGGGAGGGGGGCAGGTGGTGGCCGCCTGCTTGGTGGCCTTGGGGACACCCCAAAGGGGGCCCAGATGTGGGTCGCGGACGCCTGGGCCCCTTGCAGCTGTACTTGGCCATCGCCCTCATCGCCGTGGTCGTCGTCACCGGCTGCTTCGGCTACTACCAGGAGTTCAAGAGCACCAACATCATCGCCAGCTTCAAGAACCTGGTGCCCC